CAGTGGGGGAGGGGGGTTTCTTTTCTTTGTTCATGAAATAAGAGGACTCGAGGAGTGACTAAGAAAATATACATTTGTCCAAAGTGAACTAAAATCATTTTCTCCTTTTTGAGTTGAAAAATATTTGTCCTAAAAAAAGATCTTTACCACTTATATAACCAAACGTAGCAAATTAAAATAAAGTTTTCTTGGAATATATTTTTCTCTCAACCAAAAAGATCTTATGAGTTACATTTTCTTGAAAAAATTATTACATAACAAAAATAAAAATCATTCAGTGGCACGGGTTAAAAAGCTAGTTAATTTTAAAAAGTAAAGAAAATAAGAGTCCGTGACACACAAAAATTACTAATATGATTTGAGATAGAATATAATGGTATAGAAGAAAATAAAAAGAGATAAAAAAAATTTTAAAAGTAGAATATAATTTATTTAAATAAAATATAAAAATTATAAATTAAAATAATTATTTCAAATTTTCAGCACTTAATTGTTTTAAAAAAATTTATTTTTTTCAACTCATTTTAGTTTCTTCAAACTCTTTCTCTTTTAATTTATTTCAACTTTTTCCCATTTCTTTTAATTCATTCTCATTTCTTCCGAATCAAACACTCCTTTTTAGAATTGAAACAAACAGAATCTAAAAGATAGCTCGTTTAATTTTCACAGAATTTGAAAAGTATTATGAAAAAATTTTAGATTGTTAAAATATGTGGAGATTTAGAGGACATGAATTTTTGTCAAATACATGTTTAATGTCCTAAAATGAATTAAGTAACTAAAATACTCCGTATATTTTCTTTTCCATCGGTAAAAATAAAATCACTTTCCACTTGTATTGGGATTATTATTTTGGAGAATTTACTTAAATAGCACTAAAACATAAGGGAGAAAGATTAAAGTAGGACTAAAACATTGAAGATATATCAAAATAGGACTTCCATGTTTTTATTCCCGAAATAGGACTTACATTACCAAACATGGTCATATACATTACCAAGAAAGTATAGTAATTTGTACATGTACACTGCCACATTACCACAATGCAAAGTCACATTACCACAATGCAAAGTCCTATTCTGAGTAAAAAAACATGAAAGTCCTATTTTGGTACTTTTCTCTATGTTTTAGTCCTATTTAGGATGATTTCTAAAAACTTAATGACTTTCCCTAAATAGTACCACATGTATTTTTTTCCCAATGTAGCATTTTTAGTCATTATTCAATTGTCATTATTCAAGTAAATGTTCGCCATCACAGGACATTATTAAATGTTATTTAGGAAATAAAACAGTTTAAATGCTATTTAGGGAAATAACTTAAGTTTTAGTACTCCCTCCGTCCGGAAATATTCTTCTCATTTGACTTTTCATAGTCAAAATTTGTAAACTTTGACTATGATATGTAGAAAAAATACATTATATTATGATATAACTTTAATATGAATATATTCATTTTGAAATATAGTTTTCAAATATCAAATTTTTATAAAATATATCCATGTATAAATAAAGATATTATTGGTCAAAGTGCAATCTTGGAGACCGTAAAATGTCAAATGGGAAGAACATTTCCGGACGGATGGAGTATTATTTAGTGCAAATATTTCTATTTATTTTTTCTTGTGTAAACCACCTTCAATCATACTCCGTATAATTTAATTTTTTAAATTTTCGTGTCCAAACAATAATGGAATATTATATTATTATTACAAGAAGTATTTGGGCTGGGGGCCTTTTTGGTTGCCTTAAATATGCTTCGAAGGTACGCCGTTTTCGTTGCTGAAGTCCAAAGGTACAAAAAGGGAGGCCTTAGGCCAGAAATGGCAAAACAATGAGGTAGCTGTCAATTTTATCACAAGCAAGTTGGAGATGCCTTTTCATGATGATTCACACCGGTACGGTAGGAAGGAGTCACTATGTGAAAAAACATAGGGGATACATATTGAAAATAATTATATCTAAACAAAAATGTAAACATTTACTTCCCAAGATTTTAAAACTTATTTAATAATAGACTTTAGATTTAAAATTTCAAAACATCAATGTACACTATTTTTAAACTAATCTTTGTTTTGATTTGGCAGTTCATTAGAATTGGAAGAAATTAAACAAACTAGATCCTTATTGATTCTATTACGAAACCTTAACACCTTTCCTTAGGAATGTATCTTCATTTTTCTATTTTTTCATTTTCTTACATTTTGAATTTAATTTATTTAAAATTTGGGGTCAATTTTATATATAATTTGTAAAAAAAACATTAAGGGTTATATATATATATATATATATATATATATATATATTTATATATATATATATATATATATATGGTGCGGTTCAGGGGAGAATTGATCTTACTACGAGAATAGAGCTTATCGTGAAAATGATGCATTTTCGGGCCACCACGATACATTTTTAACTTGTAGTGGTGCATGTTCAGCACTAGCAGAAAAGTTTGATTTATTTACATAATTATCACCGTGATTTTTTCATTTTTTTCATGTTTTTGAATTTTAATAACCCCGAGATCTTATATCAAATCAATCGTATTGTATGCATTCTCATTTCTTTATTGTGCATCAATCACATTTGGATCATATTATATATATATATATATATATATATATATATATATATATATATATATATATATATATATATATATATACACACACACAGACACATCACTACTCCACCCTTACCTTATTTTTTCATCCTCTTTCTTCTATCGAAGAAAGATAAAAATAAAAATAAAATGTAGAAATAGAATAAAAATAAGACGCGTATGTTTTTAATAACGAAAATAAGAATTAAAATGTAATAATATTAACATATACTGCCAAAAAATACTATGGAATGACAATATACAGCAATATTGTCATGTACAAGGTATAGTGCAAAATCTTATTTTTGTGATAAAAATATGTAATTACTATTTTTGGAACATGAGCAATGTTTTACTCCTATTTTAAATAATTTCATCAATGGTGGAGCCATCATTATAGCCACGGAGGCATTTGCCACCAATCAAATATTCCATTAATAACTTGGTTAATATCTTTAAATTACCTTAAAAAATAAAATTACCCACAAAAATACTCTCCTCTAATAAATTTATGTCATAATATAATATAATGTATTTTTTCTACATATCTGAATTAATGGAAAGAACATTTCAGACGAAGGGAATACTAAAAAGGGATTATATATTTCATTTCTTACAAAGTACAATTAAATAGGGAAATGATATTTTGCTTCCATTTTTTGCTTTTGACACACCAAAAATAGACTATTAATGTGAGAGAAAAAATGATGCATTTTGGAGTGCTAGCCAATAGCAAAAATGAAGTGAAAATATCATTTCCGAGCTAAATATTTTCTTGGTTAAATACGTTTTTCACCCTTATAGAATAAGCGTTTTTTAGTGTTCTTCTCTCCTCTAAGAAAAACATTTCGATCTGCAGATGGTACTCCAACTTAATTTTTTCTCACTTTGGAGTTAGTATTAAAATTATTTTCGGTCCCTATAAAATTAGTAACTACCCCCTAGCACATTTTTGGTTCATATAAATCTTTTAGAGTACGTAGTGATTTTCTATTTTGGTCACTGTAAAATTTCACCCAATTCGAAAGGATCGTTTTAAAAAATTAGTATAAGATTTAATGTCATTTCATTTTAATGTTGTTATCACAATCATTAGTAGAGGACTAAATTGAGCGTTATTTTTAATTAACGAGTATCATCTTGGTAATGAATTCATCTTGGTGACAAATTTGAAAAAACGCATAGTAATTAACTACTAATATAGGAATTTAGTCTTTTTTAATGTTCTAATAAAGTTCTTACTCCCTCCGTTGTCTGTCCCAAAATCGATTACAACTTTTGAGTAACGAGACAAAATTTTATGTTTTTTGAAATTATTTTACTACCTCCTCCAAGAATATTTATCCAAATTTTACTTTTTACAGTCAAAATTTATAATCTTTGACTATTAATTAAGTAAAAAGTTTATAAATTTTAATTTTAAAATTTAAAAATTCAAAATTTTTACATTTTATTTTTAAAATTTATATTATTAAAGTCAAATGTAAATTCTTGTTGATTATAAGAAGTCAAAACTTGACAAATATTCTGTGACTAAGGAAGTATTTACAAATTGAAATAAAATACAAAAAAACTAACTTAAGTATGAAAAGGGGAAAAAATTACACCAAAAGCTCTAGAAAAAAGGCGATAAGAAAATTTTAAGTTATCAAATAATTAATTAAAATATATAAATAAACTAAAGTTATTGAAAGGTTGAGTAAAAAAATTTTAATCTATTGTGGGGCGAGAGAGTATTTCAATTTGGAAAAGAAAAAGTGGTCCATATTACTCTCCATGTTCTAAACTTTTCTTTTATACTTCAGTTTACGATGTATGACTGAAATTATTTTCTATTTAACTTATTTTATCATAAGTATAAATTTTAAAAATAAAATTTAAAAATTAATCATAAAAAATTCTACAAAATATATAAGAAGTGACATGACTATATTATTTTATCCAATTACTATTGAAAATAATTCAAGAAAAGTTTATAAATGTTGACTGTATGAGCTTCGAGTGGTAAACGAGAAGAAAGTTTTAGGATGAAAAAAATATTTCTCTCTCATCTGCATAAACTTATATGATATCGAGTACTGTATAATTTTTTTAAACCCCGTGAAAAAACAAATGATAATTTTTTGAAGAAAACCAATTATTTATCATATCAAATATTTGCACTAAATAGCACTAAAACTTAAGTTATTTCCCTAAATAACACCTCAACAATTTATTTCCTAAATAACACTTAATAATATTCATAATGTCCAGTGATCATTAATATTTACTTGAATAATGACTAATGCATAATGACTAAAAGTGCTACTTAAAAAAACACATATGATGTTATTTAGGAAAAATCAATATATTTTAGTACTATTTAAGTAAATTTCTCTTTCTCATACTCTTTCAGGGGTGATCATGATTCATTAAAAAAGAAAAAGAAGAAGTTGAGAGAAAAGTTTAAAACGAGAAATTAGAGATGTATATGGATCGATTCCCATATAGCTACATGAAGAATTATTTCTCGAACTTTCTTTAAAAAGCTTGGGATAGAGGCATAGAGCAAATCTTGCGACACGCTACAAATCTTAGCATGCAAGGGCGACGCAGGTGGCCAGTCATCCATCTATTGATCAATTTTCCGCACGTGGATTTTAATTAGAGGCCACAAAATCCACAAGCTATGAGATCGAGCACACTTTTGACGTGGGGAGATCACACAGCCACAAACAATATATGAATTCATACAATATTTCCCTTTTTTTTCTTTAATTTTTTTCGTGACACAAAACGTGCGTATATATTATCGCTTGCGTGGTACGGAGAATCAAATTCTTGGATCACAAAATTCCACCTCCTTTTTAATAAATCTTTATAATAATTTTTGTTCTTGGCGCTAGCTTTATTATATTATATAGCTCCTCAAATATATTAAAAAGAAAACTTAGGGCCTGTTTGGGATTAGCGTTAGCTATTTGGATAAAACTTTAACGGTGCAGATTACTTTGAAAACGCTAACGCTAAACGCTGCTCGTAGATAGCTTTTTCAAAACGCTAACGCTAATCGCTAACGATATTTCCAAACAGACCCTTAGTAATAAAGGGTGTTACTATATAAGCATGGTCGTTCATCACCTGTTTCCCCACTTGGCATGCAATTCCATGATCAAAAGTTGTTCCTCCGGCGTGATATTTCCCCGCCGGACGTCAGGCCGGAGGTAGTTCAGCCACCGTAGGCGGCAACTCTTCCCAGTTCGTTTCAGACCTACCAGAAACGAACATTATATAACGTAACAAATGAATACAAGGAAGTATTAATTAGTTGCTACGTTACTTTTGTGGATAAAAATTAAAATTAACCATTTTTAAAAGAGTTGGTATTATATATAATACCGGCAGAGCGAGCTAGGGAGTTCCAAACACCTTCACCATGATTAGAAATGTAGTTTATGAGAATCAAGTCCTCTTCCATAGTCCAAGGCCCCTTCCTTATTTCAACTTCTTGAGAGTTGCATGGCTTTCTATCCATTATTGGGAGAGGGAAGGGGTAGATGGGAACGTAACTAAGAATAAGAGAGGACAATGGTTATTGGTGAAAACATAATGGGAGTGGAACGATATTTATAGACCGTGATAACTTTAAATAATACGGATGGAGTTGTACTATCTCCCTTTGATTTTTTGCAATTAAAATTAATAAATTTTGACCACTAATTAAATACAACTGGCGTTAGGTATTGTTATAAAAAATAATTTTATTAGATTTATTTTATAAAATAATTTTAAGCATTGTTATTTATTACTAATATACCACATAATTTTTATTAGATTCGAAATCAAAAATAAAAATGATTGATTGTAAAAAATTAAAACTGGACAAATACTTAGCACGGAAATAGTATTGTGTATGTAATACTACATTTGTAAATTATATTTTCGCTTTAAACAATGATTTAGCCGAACTTCATTAATTTCTTGCAATAATTAATGTAGCCTTTAGTGTCTAAGGAAATATATATGCATGTATGACACGCTCGATAAGTCCATGCATGGTCACGTCAAGTCACTAATAAAGCTAGGGGTGAGCATGATACGGTATGGTACGATCCCGATACTGAAGCATCGGTTCGGTATGGTTCGGGATGGTTCGGTATCGGTTTCGGTACGAATCGGGATGAATATATACGTACCTAGTTTACATCATAAAATGTAACAAAACCTTTTATTTTTAAAAAAAATCGAAAGTACATTTAACCAAAGAAAGATAAAATATTTAAAAATGAAAAAATAAAATGCAAGAAATGCTTATGAAAATTATTTTATATTTCACAAACTAAAGAGAACGAGTGATAACAAAGTATTATTTCAAATATTTGTTAATATTCTTATACTCATCTACAAAAAATAAAAAAACTCTTATTAGAGTGCAACATAAACATAACGAAATTAAACTAAATTGTCTATATAAATTTTTTATTTAATGATGAATTATAAAAAGATTATTATTTTTATAATATATTTGTATATATGTTCGGTTCGGGAATTTCGGTATGGGAAGTAACCTCGTACCATTCCCAAGTACCGGACCGACCTTTCGGTTCGATACGGTTCGGTTTCTTTTCGGTACTTTTTCGGTTCGGTATTCTCGGTTTTTTCAGGAAATATCGGGATCGGTTCGATCCTTGCTCACCCCTAAATAAAGCAAAAGTATTTCTCTTTATTTATAGGTTTGATATAATTTGATAATAATGGAATAAAAACGGTTACACCATTTTCTATACAAAATGCATAGAGAATTCTATCCAAAATAGAATAGGAAATTTTAGTAACAATATAATAAGAAAGATAATAATAATATATTCTACTGTTTTCTGATTGGTACGTTTGGCGAAAGTGTAATTATTAATATAAATAGTCCAATATAATTATCCGGATAAGATAGCACGATATTAAGGTCCAGACCTAGGCGGACCCACATAGGGTCACTAATAGCTCCAACTAGTTTCTGTTGGTATAGTTTTATGTTGGCATTATTTTTTGACAAAACCCTTTCTGTAGAATTGTTAGCATATCTATGTTAAGTCAAGAGCTGTAGCATCCTGTCAGTCATGGTATAGAGTTTCTATACAGTTTGGACTCTAGATATGTGGAGACTTATATGTCAAGAGGAGTTCGTGAGGTGTCTAGCACCAAGAGGATCATCTACATTAATTATATTGGTTATCTCCTGGCCACGTGCAAAATAGCTGGAGCAATCTACGGAAGAAGTTGTGGCGTGCTAGGATTGTCTGGTACTCAAGCTTATCACCGTAAGAGTTCCAGAATATCTCCACTAGGGTTATAGACATCATATAAAAAGAGATACCCATGGATGAGAGTGGTGTGCGGAATAATACTCATAATATCATACGAGAGATCACGAGATCCCAGTTGTCCTGATCAAAACAAAACTGTGAGAGATTTGCATGAGAAGATCAGTCATGAATCTTCTCTAGATATTGTTCAGCAGTTGCAACCTGGTTAGCTGAGCAAGGGTCAGTAACACATCCTTCGTGCAGAGCAAGAAGGTATAATAGGCCTCGTAGTGACACAAATCGAGTTTGGTGTCAGATCATGTAAGTAGACAAGTCAAATTTATTAAAAGGATTTGTTGAAGTTTGATAGTGTAATTCTTACGATTGATCTAGTGGAAAGGCTATTACACGGATGTGGGCCTCGCAGATGTAGGAGATACTGCTCCGAACTGCGTAAACAAATCTCTATGTCTTTGTGTGTTTTTCTAGTTGTGTGTGTGACTGTTGGAAAAGGTGTTGTAGCATCTCGTGTGTTCTAAAGCTACAACGCTCTTTTCAATAGTGGTTCTGTGATTGCATCTGTTTTCTGTTTGTCTCTGCTACAAGTCTATTCTTGGAAGTGTGGAAATTTTAATTGGTATCAGAGCTTGTTGAGCTTAAGTTATTAGCTTTCAACGATCACAAATTATGGAAGACATGGAGGAAGGAGCCAGTGTTTCCAGGCCACCCTTGTTGCGTGGTCACAACTAAAATTTCTGGAAAGGGCGTATGAGGGCATTCTTGAAATCACAAGGAGGAGGAGTATGGAGAACTGTTGAAACTGGCTGGACAGAACCAGTTAAATATTCAGAAGACCTGACTACGTCAACCATCAAGAAATTTGAAGACTATAGCAGAACTGAAGTCATTGCCGCTGAGAATAATGACAAAGCCCTAAATGCTATTTTTGGAGCAGTTGATGCAACACAATACCGCCTCATATCAAATTGCATTAGTGCTAAGGAGGCGTGGGAAATTCTTGAAGTCACACATGAAGGTGATGAAAAGGTCAAAACTGCAAAATATCATATTCTCATGACACAATATGAGAATCTGCGAATGGATGAGAAAGAGACTATTGTAGAATTCCATGGAAGAGTTCGTGACCTTGCCAATCAAGTCACTACCAGAGAGATTTGATGTAACACCCCGGCCGTAAGTGTTCGCTCATAGGATTGTAGACTGTCCCCACAAACCAACACAAGTCTTTCCCGCACACTTTGTCCTCACTCGTGCGCGCCTAAGGAAAACTTCCCAGGGGATCACCCATCCTAAAATTGCTCCAGGTCAAGCACGCTTAACCTTGGAGTTTCTAGATGATGAGCTCTCGAAAAGAAGATGCACCTTGTTGATATGAGTAGTACTATCAATCCTTTTGAGCTCTTCCATTCCCATCTTGATACGGGGTATTACATTTGATATGGATGCCAAGCCAATCTCTCAATCACATGATGCGAAAAAGATGACACTTTATGCTCTAATGGGTAATCTTGAAACAATCTGTTAGTCGGTTTAGTCGTTGTGCCCACGCCTTAGAGGGGGGGGGGGGTGAATAAGGCGTTTGAAAACTTTTCGGAGTTTAATAAAAACGGTGTTGGCAAATGCGGAAGCAATATATAAAACGCAAAAATAAAAGCGTAAATAAAATGCACACCGAATTTATACTGGTTCAGGAACTCCCTACTCCAGTACCTTAAGGCTCCTCCTTAAAGATTTTCAATCCACTAGAACGCCTTGACCGTCTTAATACGATCGTCACGAGGGAACCAGTTTTTGGCAAACAAACCTTTGCCAATAGGTTTACACTTAATCGACAATACCTCACACCTTGAAGTATCCAACTAGTTTTGAGGATTTTCCAACGGCTATCCCCAACCGTGCACCGAAGATTTTCAGGATGTCTTCAACCTAGAGATTTTGCAACGGCTATCTCCAACCGTCTCAACAAGATTTTCACGAATATCTTCGACCAATTACAAAGATATAAGAATTTGAATGAATCAACACCCCCTCAAGAATATAAATTACAAAGTCGGGTCGGTGTGATAATATCTATACACTCTAGAATTACAACTCTCTTATAGATGATATGAGTGTATATCTCTTTGGATCAAGCTCAATGTGTGTTCAAGAAAATATATTGAAAAATGGCTCTTAATAGCCTAATAAAAATCAGAGATTTTTATGAACACAAGAAGAAGGAATTAAGAGATTTTAACAAAGCTTGATTGATGAAAAACATTGAAATGGTTTGGGTATTTATAGGGATGGATTAGGAGTTGTTTGAAATTGAAAAATAGCTGTTAGAGAAGAATAATTAACTCCTAATACCATAATTAAGATAATCCAACCGTTGGGGGTGAAAAAGACAAGAAATAAGGAATCTGGTCTCCGAACGGTCCATCACATTGACCGTTTCTGACCAAACGGTCGACCGTTCGGGGTAACGTTCAAATTCCGCCAACGGTAAGTAGGACGGTCGACCGTTCTGCAGAAACGGTTCACCACATCGACTGTTCGTTACCCTGTGCGAATTTTAAAATAAATTTGGTAAAATGTTAATAACTTTTTCAATACTAATCAGAATTGAGTAATTCAAGAACCTGCGATCTCGTATTGAGAAGAGTTATAACTTTAGTTAAATATATAAAAAAATATATTTTTCGAAAATATTTACCAAATGTATTTTAAAATTAATACCCAAGTAAAAATCTTTTTTGTGTGTGTGCAAAATTTAGCTTGAGCTTAGAGATATATCATTCAAATATCTTTAACAATAAATGACTCTAAGCTATTCTATGCTAGTCCTGTGTGAGCGAACGTATTGACGCAATCAACGCGTTTTAGTGGATTTTGTCGTTCCTACACAATTGAACAAACGTTAGCTCAATTAAATTATTTGTTAACATCAAAACATGAGATTAAGCATACCAAGGCTAACACAATCGAACTGGACATGAAAGAGGATAGCAAGAGAAGAAAACTTGAGAAACAAATCGCCTTTCTGGGAACTGACCAGGAGGGTGATGGAGAAGATGATTTATCATTTGATGAAGAATTCCAAGAACAGCTGTCCTTATTCACAAAGCAGTTCAAGAAGAAGTGGATTCAAAAGAAGGGAAAGAACCCAAGTCAAGAGGGACCTTCTAAGACATCCACGTACATGGAGTCACGTTTCAAAGAAGGAAAATCCTATGATAACAGTACCAAGTACAAAGGGCCACTGTGCTTTGAATGTGGTGGACACGACTAAATGTCCACAGTACCAAGTACCAAGTACAAAGGGCCACAGTACCAAGTACCAAGTACAAAGGGCCACAGTACCAAGTACCAGTACCAGACTAAATGTGCAAACAACCTTAAAAAGAAAAGACAAGCATTTTCAATTACCTGGAGTGATGAGGATACTGAAGAAGATCAGGGTTGTGGGGAAAGCAACTATGCCTTTATCTCACAATCAGAGTCAGACGATCTAATTGAGCAACACATGGATCTTCAGGAAAAATGGACTGAACTGCTTATGGTTAACAGAAGAAATATAGCAGAAAAGAATCAGCTGAAACTTGATTTAAAAGTTCTGAAGAAAAATCTAGAAAAAGCTGAAACAGATAATGCAGATCTAAAGTTTGAACTGCAAAAGCTCAAAGACTACATCAAGTGGATGAAGATAACAGGAGCTGAAGTACTAGATGCACAGGAATTAATGGTCAAAGCACCAGGAGACAGAAAAGGAATTGGATGTGATAGCAACACCAAAACAAATAATCCACCCAGAGAAGACAGTATGAAGATAGATAAGAACGTCAGAAGCAACCATCACCCAGCAGTAAAACCAATCAGGAGTTACAGTGTCAAACATCACAGAAGGAACTCATGGACATATCAATGCTACAAATGTTACTACTGCAGAGGTTGGGGACATATCAAAAGGGCATGCCAGAAGCTCAAAAATAAAAGGGCAAGAATTCAGAAGATCAAACAAATTTGGGTTCCAAAGGGAAGAGTCATGGTAGCAAACTCATGCCTCAGAGTTACTCCTGATCAGTGGCTGCTGGACAGTGGATGTTCACATCATATGACTGGTGACAGACAGAATCTTACAAATGTTAACTCAGTTGAAAGAGGAAATGTCAGATTTGGTGGTGGAGCACAAGGAAAAATCATAGGATGTGGAATACTAAATGTATCCGGACTTCCACCAATAAAAAACGTATGGCTTGTACAAGGACTTCAAGTAAATCTACTCAGTATCAGTCAGATATGTGATCAAGGCTTGGAGGTTACATTTACTCAACAAAAGTGCCGTGTGAAAGACAAGAACAAACTGGTGGTGGTAGAGGGTGATAGAACAACTGACAATTGTTACAAAGTAACCCCTAATGTTCTATGCTTTCCTGCAAGCCAACAGGATGCAAGGCTATGGCACTACAGGCTTGGTCATTTAAACTTCAAAGATCTCACAACCCTCTCAAACCCTGATGCAGTTCGAGGATTGCCCAAGATAAAGAGACTATAAGGAGAAGTATGTGGTCCGTGTCAAAAAGGGAAACAAACACGAGCAAGCCATCCTAAAAAGGTATATCAATCTACCACGAGACCTTTGGAGTTGATACATATTGATCTCTTTGGACCAATGAAAACTGAAAGCATTGGAGGGAAGAGATTTGTGCTCATAGTGGTGGATGACTACACAAGATATTCCTGGGTAAGCTTCTTGAGACACAAAGATGACACACTAGAAGCCTTTGTCATATTGTGCAACAAAGTGCAGAATGAGAAACAGCTTAAGATTAAAAAGGTCATTCGTGTACGGAGTGATCATGGGGGAGAGTTTGAAAGTCTGCCATTTAGTGAGTTCTGCAACAAGGAAGGAATTCAGCATGAGTTCTCTGCTCCAAAAACTCCACAACAGAATGGAATTGCCAAGAGAAAGAATAGGCATGTACAAGAGATGGCCCGCATGATGATAAACACTCAAAACTTGGCTCAGAACCTATGGGCTGAAGCAGTACATACAACATGCTATATGATAAATAGGGTATACATACGAAGCAGCACAAAGGCTACGCCATATGAGTTATGGAAAGGAAGAACTCCAAATCTTGCACACTTCCACATCTTTGGAGCAAAATGTTATGTCCTACGAGACAGACAACAGAAAGGGAAATTCGAGGCCAAAAGTGAAGAAGCAATATTTGTAGGCTACTCACCAAACAGCAAGGCATACAGAGTATTGCTCAAAAGGACCAGGAATATAATTGAATCAATAAATGTGGTGGTAGATGATCAAATACCAAGAAGGTGCAGTGATGACTCTGAAACTGTTGAAACACAAACTAAGACAGCATCGATCAGAACAGGAAGAGGCAGGTCCTGAAGAACAAACAAACAATGAGGAGGATCAAACTACAGGATCAGAGGAGTCAGCAGGAACACCAGAGGGGTCAACAGGTATACCCACACATGTTCACAAAAATCATCCACCAGAAAATATCATAGGGAACCCAAGAGAAGGCATTCAGACTCAGAAAAAGAAGATAGATTTTGTTCAGATGATAAACGCCTTCTACACTTCCTCAGTTGAACCAAAGAACATAAAAGAGGCACTCAAAGAGGAACCATGGATAGATGCTATGCAGGAAGAGCTGGGATAGTTCGAATTGGGACAAAGTGGATCTTTCGAAACAAAATAGATGAAGATGGGAAGGTAGTCAGAAATAAAGCAAGGCTGGTAGCTCAGGGTTACACACAAGTCATGGGAATTGATTTCGAAGAAACATTTGCTCCAGTTGCTAGAATCCATTCGCATGTTAATCAGCATGGCATGCATTCTTGACATGAAACTCTACTAGATGGATGTGAAAACTACATTTCTAAATGGGTATCTTAAAGAAGAAGTATATGTCTCACAATCAAAAGGGTTCGAAGATCCAAAACATCCAGATCATGTCTACAGATTGAGGAAAGCACTCTACGGGCTGAAGCAAGCTCCACGTGCATGGTATGAGAGGCTAACTACTTACCTCCTCAAGGAAGGATATAAAAGGGGTGGAGCAGACAGCACTATGTTCTATAAAAGGTACGGATTAGACATTCTCATTGCTCAAATATACGGTGATGATATTATATTTGGGTCTACCTCAAAACAGCATGTTGACAAGTTTGTCAAAACAATGGAAATGGAGTTTGAGATGAGCATGATAGGAGAATTAACCTTCTTCCTGGGATTACAAGTCAAGCAAACTGAAAGAGGCATTTTTATCTCACAAGCAAAGTACATACAGAACATGCTAAAGAAATTTGACATGAGTGACTGTAAAAGTGCTAGAACACCTTGTCCCACACATGACAAGATCAGCAGGGATGACTGTGGTAAATAATGGTAAATAAGTAAACGAGACACAATACAGAAGTATCATTGGAAGCCTGCTGTACCTCACTGCTAGCAGGTCAGATATTTGTTATAGTGTGGGTGTATGTGCCAGATACCAAGCAAATCCAAAGGAGTCACACCTTTAGGCAGTCAAAAGAATACTAAAATATGTCAGAGGCACACAAAACTTGGGGTTATGGTACGAGAAGGGTGGTCCAGCACAATTAGCAGCATTTAGTGATGCAGATTGGGCAGGAAATATAAATGATAGGAAGAGTACGTCTCGGGGTTGTTTCTTCCTAGGAGGAAACTTGGTTGCATGGCTGAGTAAGAAACAAAACCCAGTGTCCTTATCTACTGCAGAAGCTGAATACATTGCAGCTGGGAGTTATTGTGCACAATTGTTATGGATGAAGTCAGTATTGTTAGACTACGGAATACAACAGAAGACAATACCACTGTATTGTGACAACACAAGTGCAATCAGTATGACTAAAAATCCCGTGCTACATTCTCGTACAAAGCACATTGACATCAAACATCATTTTATACGAGAATTAGTTGAAGAAAATTTTTTTAATCTGGAACATGCTGACACAGAAGAGCAACTCGCTGATATCTTTACAAAGGCACTGGATGGGAATCGATTTGAAACACTCAGATCCAAACTGGGTCTGTGTGCACCATACTAATGTGTCACAAAAATTCACCTTGAACACAAATTGACAGCTAATGTGTTCAAAGTGTCACTCATCTGCTGAAATAATGACACATGGAAAAAATGAGGAGGGAGTATCTGAAAAGAAGCACAATGCATGCGCACAGTGCTCTGTAAATGATGTCAGCCAGACGCAGAAACCAAAGGGTCAAAATATTCAAAAGGCCAAGACCTAACCCAAGAAGGCATCCAGAGAGAGTAATTCCCAAAATTCGCACTTGAATCCACAGCAAAAAACTCTTCAAGAAATCCAAGAAGAAACAAGAAAATCTCTGCTACAAAAATGGTGCGTATCAAGATGGCGTTATCCCAACGATGGACTGGTAAGGCAAGGCTGCAAAAGAAGAAGTTCCAGAGACCCTTCTGGACAAAGCTATTCTCAAGAGGTGAATCATCCTCATCCACTGCTGCACAAACTCAAGCGGCTGAGAATCCTTCAGCACTACCTCTTCACTCAGATGATGATGGGCTGTATCTTCCAATTCTTCAACCCACAGAAGTATTGCGCTTGGAGTACACGCCAATAAAACCAGAGGAATCCACAAAAAACCCTAGCACAGGGGGGAATCTGTGAAGAAGAAGTTCTGGGAGAAATTCTTGAAGAAGAAGAACCTATTGTTGCATATTCGGCAGTCCCCTTTCAAGATTCTTCATGCAATACAGAGGGAGGAGACACAGAAAGGAGAAACAACACTGGACCTACCCGGTGGTCTCTAAGACGAGCCAGATCCCTTCATCACACAGAGAATCCGCCAGAAGAGAAAACGGAAGTTCAAGAGTCAAAGAAAAAGAAGAAGAAGAAGAAGCCTCAATCTGAGTCCAAGAAGAGAAAAGAGAGTGAGGCTTGTTCTTCACCAAAACCTCCGGTCAAGAGAACAAAACCCTCACCAGATGCTCCATCCTCATCTAGACAAGGACGGGAGACCAGAAGTTCAAAGAGTTCACAACCAAGCTGCACTCCAGGGAAGCAATCTGTCAAACTTTTTCCCTCTATTCTTGCAAAATCTTATTTTTATGATGTTGTGAAAAAGTCCATTATACCTCAAAGGAATGAAGAAGAAGAGATCATCCCTCCCTTGCTGCAAGTTGATGCACGACATCTTGAAGGAAGCCACTTCAATGACATGGCTGCAGCTGCAGCACCACAAAATCCAGCCTCAGTAGATTACCAGCTCAGTTTTCTTGAAAAGGAGATCAAATCCCTTCAAATGGATGCAGATTATCATAATGAAATTGCTCAAAGGTCAACAGAAAGGATGAATGTGCTCATTCAGATTGCACACACCCTAAGACAAACAAGGAGTGCACAGAGTAAGGGGGAGAGCCTGACCAAACACAAAACACCTGCTGCACATTCAGACACAGAGGAAGATGCACAAGGAGACAGTGCAGAAGAGTTTTCATCATCAGAATCAGGGGGGGCCACTTAGGAATCAGCAGAGGGTGCCAGTTCAGAGGAGTAAACATTGCCTTACTGACGATTTTGTTACTCTAAAAACATTTCTTTTTGGTGGAAAGGGTTGTTCTGCCCTGTTTCTTATGATGCTGAAACTTTGCATGGTTTGTGATTGGAGAGATGGTTTTATTCTCCTTTTTCCCTAAGCTCTGTTTATGACTTATTCTGGTTTTGATTTTACTTGCATGCATTACGAAGCAATGATAGCACAAGAGCCTACCCTCCTTCATGGGTACTTGGCTCTTTTTGTGTGATGACTGATGTAGGTACAGCTCTTTAGAGTCCTTATTCCTGTTTACTTGATGTACCTATTCTTGACCGTATTGAATATTACTCTTCTCTTTTTGCCCCCAAGCTTTGTGCTTCTCAATAAAATATCTTTGGCATTTTTATGCAAAAAAGGGGGAGAAGAGGTTCAAAAACGGCTGAATAGTGGTTTTTGTCAAAAAATGACCAAAGGGGGAGATTGTTAGCTCCAACTAGTTTCTGTTGGTATAGTTTTATGTTGGCATTATTTTTTGACAAAACCCTTTCTGTAGAATTGTTAGCATGTCTATGTTAAGTCAAGAGCTGTAGCATCATGTCAGTCATGGTATAAAGTTTCTATACGGTTTGGACTCTAGATATGTGGAGACTTATTTGTCAAGAGGAGTTCGTGAGGTGTCCAGCACCAAGAGGATCTACATTAATTATATTGGTTATCTCCTGGCCACGTGCAAAATAGCTGGAGCAATCTACGGAAGAAGTTGTGGCGCGCTAGGATTGTCTGGTACTCAAGCTTATCGCCGTAAGAGTTCCAGAATATCTCCACTAGGGTTATAGACATCATATAAAATGAGATACCCATGGATGAGAGTGGTGTGCGGAATAATACTCATAATATCATACGAGAGAGCACGAGATCCCAGCTGTCCTGATCAAAACAAAACTGTGAGAGATTTGCATGAGAAGATCAGTCATGAATCTTCTCTAGATATTGTTCAGCAGTTGCAACCTGGTTAGCTGAGCAAGGGTCAGTAACACATCCTTCGTGCAGAGCAAGAAGAAGGTGTAATAGGCCTCGTAGTGACACAAACCGAGTTTGGTGTCAGATCACGTAAGTAGACAAGTCAAATTCATTAGAAGGATCTGTTGAAGTTTGATAGTGTAATTCTTACGATTGATATAGTGGAAAGGCTATTGCACGTATGTGGGCCTCGCAGATGTAGGAGATAGGGCTGTTCATGTTTAGGTCCAAACCGAAAAAACCGACCGAACCGGACCTATTGGTCAAGACCGAACCCAGACCGATTGGATTTCAGGTCGGTCTTCGGTCCACCTATTTTACAATTTCGGGTTTCGGTCCGGTCCGGTCCAAACCCGAATATCATTTGGTCCAGACCTAAAAGACCGAGACCATTAATTTCCCTATTTTCCGTTCTTTACTTCCGTCTTCTAAGTTCCAATCGGTACACCACTCCACCTAATTCCTTAATTCCTCTGCCTATTTTGTCTTCCTTTTCCCCAAAAAATTTCCAACTCTCCATGATTCCAACTCCAAATCTCCAATTGCAATTGACCTGACCGTCCGTTCACAAACCGCAAGACCGCAACCGCCGGTGACTCTAGGCCTCAAGGTGCTTCGCCAATCGCCGGTCTATCAATTATCGAAAGCGAAGATTTGAGATTTTGGGAAATTATCCATTTACCTTTCACTTGATTTAATTTCCATCTTTCAAGTTTCAAAATTGATTACACATCTATATTAATTTTATATTTTTATGATTTTATCCATATATGAAATTATTAAATTGTAGTACTTTAACTTTTTACTAGAATTGAAATTTGAAATTTTTAATCTTGGATTCGGTCTATTCGGTCTGAACCAGTTCGGTCCAATTAGTTTCGGTCCGGTCCGGTCCAAAACCGACATCATTTAGGTCTGGTCTTCGGTCTGGATTTTGGCGCATTTCGGTCTTCGGTCCGGTCCGGTCCGGTTTTAGACCGATGAACACCCCTAGTAGGAGATACTGTTCCGAACTGCGTAAACAAATCTCTGTGTCTTTGTGTGTTTTTCTAGTTGTGTGTGTGACTGTTGGAAAAGGTGTTGTAGCATCTCGTGTGTTCTAAAGCTACAACGCTCTTTTCAATAGTGGTTCTGTGATTGCATCTGTTTGCTGTTTGTCTCTGTTAGAAGTCAATTCTTGGAAGTGTGGAAATTTTAGTCACACGGGGTCAAGCGACCCCACGAAAATTTTAAAGTTTTTTAGTATATATATATATATATGTATATATATATATATATAAATAAAATTTTTTTAATGTTACCTAGATTTAGAATATATCCTACAAAACCCTACAACTATCTACTTGCCAGCGCTGAAGGAGTGGAAAGCTCCGTGGTGCTGTGGTGGGGTGGGCGGTCCTATGTTCGAATCCAACTGAATGGTGCTGATTTTACATACTCCCTCCGTCCCGCTTTGTTTGTCCACTTTTGAATTTTGGAACTGTTCATCTAAGCACTTTGACTCATCAAATTCTCTCAATGTTCAAGCCTAAATATAGTCATGTGTTATCTTGTTTGATTTGTCTTAACATATAGATTATTAATATATAATTTTTATAATTTTTTAATATACAAATTACAAGATAAAATGGATTAAAGAAGTGCATTGGATGGTGTGTAAAAATGAAAGTGGACAAATACTCTGGGACGGAGGGAGTGTTATTTTTAAGAAGAGTGATATCTAAAACGGCGTCGTTTTTTTTCTTTTTTTTCTTGATTTTCTCTTAAACCAGTTCGACACATCCCACTTCTGCACCAGATGTCCAGACCTAATTGCAAAATTGAAAGTTGAGACTTACCATCCGCTCGCCAAAGGTCGACTACAAACCTTCGCCGACCGCTGATTGCCGACCGCCGCTTGGAAGTTGGAACCGACGACGGCGACGAGAACCCCCCAAGGCCCCAAATCCCCAATTACTCGAACAACCAGGTTTTTTCTCTTAAATCTAATTATCTAAATTGGATATTTTTATTTTATTTGTAAATTGTGATAATTTTAATTAATTTTTATAAATTTGTTATTCTGAATAGCAAAATAGAGAATTGAATTCGTTTATTTATTTTGTAAGATTTTGATTTGTGATTTGTGAATATGTTAATATAATTAGGTTATGTACTTATGTTTTAAGTTTATAATGTTTTTAATTATTTAAATATCAATATAGGATGCAAAGGTATTTTAAAAAGGCACCAAGATTTAAAGAGAAAGAATCGAGTGAGAATCCATCAAATTTGAACGCAAATGCTTCGTCATCTTTAAATCATCCACCGGAAACATCAAATTTGAATCCAAATATATCATCATCTTTGGATTTTGAATCATTAGTGGCTGATCTGGGACTAAGAAAGAGAATTATAGATTATCATCCAAATGTACAAGATGAAATTCGTCGTTCTTATCTGAAAAAAGGTCCTTTCCAACCTAAAGCTCATAAGTTTCCTGTTACAGTAATGTCAGATTATAATCGTAACTTTCGTCGAGCTTGGTTTGATGAGTTCCCTTAGTTGGAATATAGCATTGCAAAGGATGCTGCATATTGTTTTCCATGTTACTTGTTTAAAAATATTAGTGATGTTGGTGGGGACCATTTTGTGGGTATTGAATTTTCTTTCATGCTTCATATCATGGTTAATGTCTTAGCAGTTACTCAGGATTTATCTCAAGCACTGCAAAGACGTGAACAGGATCTCTTAAATGCATTGAAACTTGTTCAAGTTGTGAAATGGCGTTTTCAAAGCATGAGAACAGATGATATGTGGAACAAAATCAGCAATGAAGTCATGGAGTTTTGTTATAAAAATAATATATTTGTGCCTAACATGAATGATCGTTATGTGAAGCAAAATAAGCGTGCACGGAATGCTCCAGTTGTTACAATTTTGCATCATTACAAGTTTGATTGCTTGTTTGAGATAATTGATAGATTTGTCGAGGAGCTTGGGAGCAGGTTTGATGTAGCAAGCACTAAGTTGTTAAATTGTGTTGCATGTTTAAGCCCTTGCTCATCGTTTGAGTCTTATGACAAAGCTACATTATTAAGAATGGCTGATTTTTATCCAAGGGAGTTTTCAGAAGTTGACATCAAGATTTTAGAAAACCAGCTTGAGAATTACATTTTGGATGTCCGGACTGATAGTAGATTCGCTGCTTTGAATGGGCTTGTTGATTTGTCTATGAAAATGGGTTCTACAAAGAAGGATATGACATATCAACATGTTTACACACTCATAAGGTTAGCTTTGCTTCTACCGGTAGCAACTGCTAGTGTTGAGCGTGCTTTTTCAGCCATGAAGTTTGTGAAGAATGAGCTTCGAAACAAAATTTGTGACCAATGGTTAAATGATTGTCTAGTGACATATATTGAAAGAAATGTCTTTGCTACTATTAGCAATGATAAAATAATAAATCACTTTCAAAATATGAAAACTAGACGTTATCATTTGTAAGATGTATTTCACATTTGCAATGTAGAACTATTTTTAATTAGTATTTTCAATAATATATATAAACTTTAATGTTATGTATTATAGAATATTGTTTATTTATTGTTAGAAGCGTGATTGTTGGATATAAATTTTCTAAATTGTGACCCCATGGTATAAATGTTCTGGGTCCGCCCCTGTCCAGACCCGAGAACAAGGTGAAGAAGGGAGAAAGAAGAAGGGAAGGCCGCAGCCGCTGGGGCGACGTGCGTACTGGGAAGAAGGGAAAAGGGGAGAATTAGGGTTTGATATTAATATTGAGCTATATTAATGATAATACGGTTTATCTCTATTTATAGTGAGAGATAATCCCGATCCTAAATTACTACGTTTTTTATCTTGATGGTTCAAGAAAAGCGAGGAGGTAAAGAACCGTAAAGAAACCCTCGAAGGAGCTTATAACCAGCTCACCTAGGAAAATCTAAGTTACAATAATAAATAAATAAATGTCGTAATAATAAATAAACATCATGCCGTATAATCTTGTTGCCAAATCGGGGTTCTCCGAACCCTCGTGCTTCTCTGTGTGACCACTACCGGGCCGTCTCGATCCTCACGTCCTGTTTCTTCATTGGGCCTTTCGGTCGGTGTGGCTTGATCTGGTAGCACGATCGGTTGCTGCGTAACACTCTCCCCCGGATCAAAATCCACTTTGTCCTCAAGGTGGAGTTCGGGATATTGACGGGCTAAGCTAGCATGTCAACGGGCTCCCACGTGGCATCGTTCACACCCCCATTAGACCATTCGACGAGAGCCTGACGGACGTGGAGCGGCCCAACCAATGTGGTGCGCAAGGCATGCACTTTAACTGGGTGAGATGGAGGGCAACCGTCCACCAATTCGGCGGCAGTGGCTGGACGGCAGCGGGGTCGCCATGGAATGGTCGGAGGAGTGATACATGGAACACCGGGTGGATGCTCGAGTCGGGTGGAAGTTGCAGACGATACGCCACCTCCCCCACACGTTCCGTGATAGGAAACGGACCATAAAAGCGCCGGGAGAGTTTCTGATTACTTCAATTCGGCGAGCCACGGAGTGTTGCCGGTAGGGCTGTAATTTTCAGAGAACCAAATCACCGACCGCAAAGGCAACGTCCCAACGGTGAGAGTTGGCCGTGGCCTGCATTCGGACATGCGCCTCGTGGAGGTATTGCCGGAGGCGTTGAAGGAGCGTCGTACGTTCGGTCAGGAGGGTATCCACGGCTGGGACAACACAATCTCCGGATGAATAGGGCAGCAACGTGGGGGGCTCTCGGCCATATAGAGCCTGGAATGGGCTCATTCGCAGTTTCGAGTGATAACTTGTGTTCAATGCGAATTCCACCCATGGTAAGAGGATCGGCCAACGGGCGGGTTTATCCATGGCATATGCGCGCAAATATTGCTCCACCCCACGATTTGTAATTTCCGTCTGGCCATCACTTTGGGGATGAAATGTCGTGCTAATATGTAGGGTGGTGCTGCTCAAGCGAAGATCTTGTTGCCAAAAACGGCTCATGAAGATCTTATCTTGATGGGAGACAATGCTCTGGGGAAACCCATGGTGTTCAACAACAATATCCACGAAAAGAGAAGCTACCAGAGGGGCATCAAAATCAGGTGGAAGGGGTCCCAAATGCACATATTTGGATAGGCGATCGACCACCACTAAGAGGACGGTATAACCCCGCGACACCGGAAGCCCCGGATGAAGTCCATCGAGATATCATCCCAAACACGCTGGGGAATGGGTAACGACTATAATAAACCGGCTGGGGGCTGTGTTGAGTACTTTGTGGTCTAATAGACGGTGCAAGCCTCAACGTAACGGTGCACATCATGATGCATCCCCGGCCAATAGAAATGCATTGCTAGCCGGGGATGCGTCGTGATGTGCACCGTTACGTCGAGGCTTACACCGTCTGTCAGACCACAAAGTACTCAACACAGCCCCCAGCCGGTTTATTACAGCCTATCACGGTACGTTCAACCACGATCGTATAAAAAAAACAGACTTATCAGTATGCCCTAAGAGGCCTCCGGGGAGACCCACATAACCCTAAGAAATACTTAAGGGAAAAGAAAGTCCTGAGGGTGAGTCCCTCAATATATATCCATCTTGGGGAAGAGGACCTACACGATAGTCAGACCTCACAACAACATAAGAAGGGTGCAAAAATATTATGAAAGAAGGAAACGAAAAAAAACATATGGTGTACAAAAAACACGAGTCAAACTAAGGAAGCACAATACAAAGAAGTTTTCAAAAAAACAGGAAAACAAACAAATCGGTGGTATGTTCCCCCCACCCCCAAGCTCAGTGTAACACCCCAAAAATCAGCTTATCAGGATTAATTAATTAAAAGAATTAATTAATTACCGAGATGGACTCGCTGTAATTTTGAAATATTCTTCTTTTGACAAAAAGGTGTATACCATTGTGTAGGGCTCGATGGAATGAATCCAACGGTGCAAACAAATTCGGATTTAGAGCCCGTGGGCCTGAAAATTAAGTTTTGGTCCAGTTATGTTAACTAATTATGGAGCCCAAAACCCCAAATATATAGATACTCATCCTATACGCCTAAAATCCCTACGCCATTCATAACATTTACGTAAACCTATTCCCTCGTCTCACGCCTCTCTCTCGACCGGAAGAGAGGAGAAGAAGAGGAAAAAAAGGAAGAAGAATTGTTGTTTGATTCCCCACTCGTGGTATTATCGTCAAAGTTTCTAAACATTGTAATTGATGTGAGTACGTGGACATCTAGCATATAATTATATTCCGAGGTTTGAATCTTACACTCGTAGAATTGTTACAGTTGAGTTACGTGAAACCAGATATGAATAATACGTTGTTTATGATGTTTTTAAGTTGAAAAGCATTAATCATAATAGGTAAGGCCAGAGTGATGTTAGATATTGTTTGGAATGTTATTATGAACCTATAGATTTCTATGATTATGAATTTGGGGATGTTTTGATGTGGGAAACGAAGCTGGTGCCCAACCTAAAATTTTTCACGATCGAAGATAGGGCGCGCGGTGCTACCGGGAGGGTGTCGTGCTACCGCCACCCTCTATGCTTTTCATCCTCCTCTACTGGTACCTATTACCAAACAATACCGATGTACCAGAAGGACGGTAGGCCCTACTATTGAGTCTGTAGTCGCTACCGTGATAGGCCTACCGGGTGAGTAGAATGGCTATTTCGGTCGGTGCATCGTACCGTTAGGACAGTACCCTAGTACCATGGGTCTAGTACCCCGTACCGCTAAGGGTACCGTTGGAGACTTGAACTTGAATTGCCGGATTGCGAATAGAAAACAAAAAATGTACATAGTTGTTCTAGTTGAAATGCTTAGAATAATTCTACCACTTCTACTGGGAGTAACCTTTTTAGTGATAGCTGAACATAAAGTAATGGCTTTTGTGCAATATCAAAAGGGTCTTGATGAATTGGGATCATTTAGGTTGTTACAACCTATAGCAGATGGTTTGAAATTGATTCTAAAAGAACCTATTTCACCAAGTAGTTCTAATTTCTCCCTTTTAGTAGATGGCATTTGTACCTTTTTATTATGGTTTGGTATTGTCACATCCAAACATAGGGCTACTTTATCTATTTTCCATATCTTTGCTAGGTGTTTATGGAATTATTAAAGAAGGTTGGTCTAGTAATTAGGGGGCAGCCGTTCGGTCGCCTTTAATACTAGGACCCTGCGTCGAGGATTTATTCTTAGACTTGCGTGTCGCATGACAGTAAACATGGGTGCTTATACCCAGTGTTCGGCCCTATTTGGTTATGTTGGATATATTGATAATGCCTTGATGATGTATGAATTTTGTATTATAAATTGTTAACAAATGTTGGACATATCACCTAGAAGAACTCTAGGGACTGACTTGAATGGATTAGTGGCAACGTATACCACAAGTTTAGTAACTTAGAGTCATGTGGTACCTGCTGGGTCCAATGGCTATCCGGGTAAAAATATACGCACGGGGATCTATGAGCTGTCATTTCGAAGGGGTCAGGGATCTCACCCACCCAACGAGGAACTCCCAAGTTGGTTTTGAGCTTGACCTTCGTTCTGAAGGGGAAGGTCATGGCTCCCATAGGCAAGTTGAGATCAGTTAAGCTTTAATCTAACATAGGTTAAGAGCTCAGTATATGAAAGAAAGTAAATTGAACTAGTAAGGAAAGTACTTAACTTTTGTATCATTTCATGATTATATCTTATGAACTATTGTGACATCGTTATGTATGTTTTTGTGCATGATAATGTATAATGATATGGGCTAGTGAGGTCGTCTATGGGTAGAAGACTAAGTTAGATATTACTCACTTAGCTTCAATGTTGAGTGTGTGACGTTTGTTCATTGCTGCACGTAGGTAATCCAGGGAATGAGGAACTTAGAGCCAATCTCAGGGGGCGATGAGGACGAGGAGATGTGCGTGGTGGTGCTTGATGATTTTGAATTACTGGTTATCATTTAAATAACTTATTACTTTAATTTTACAGGGCATGATTCCCAAGTTGTGTTTTGAATAATGTTTTAAGCTTTTGATAACATTTTGATTATTACTTCGATGCAGTTTAAATTATATTTTGAAGTATTAATTTGAATTGTTTGAAAATTAAGTCATGTTTCGATACTAACTTAATCGCAACCCGGTTTGCTAGTCTGAGTATTCATGTTATGCGGGTTGGGGTAATACACCCAAAGACCACCCCTAGTTTGGTAAACTTCTTCCAAGATTCAACAAACTCCTCAAGAAAGGGGGAGAAGTCAGGGGAAACCTTGGGAAGGAGGGCTGGCACAAGCTCCGAGCACAGCATCGAGTGCTCCTCCTCGTCACCCTTCATTAAGTTGGCGCTGCCAAGATCTCCCAAGAAGACTTCTAATACCGAGAAGGACTCAAGGAAGCAGGCATCGTCCCGAAGGATCTCCTCCCCTGATAAGAACTCACCCACAAACTCAGGAAGTTTGCGGCGAGCGTGATCCTCAAGGGTGGAAACATAGGCGAAAGATTATTGGAAGCAAGCCATTGCTTCCTTGCAAAGGCTCTCCATGTCACACATCTGGGTAGACTCCCCCATGGGAAGATTGACGCGGTATAAACTTAACCCCGTCCATCTTTGCCAACCCAACCAGCTGCTATGCAACAATAGCCCATTTGTTCAGCTCGAGACGTTTCACCTGTCAACAATCCAACTGCCCCTTTAGCTCCTTGGCATTCTTGGCTTCCTTCTCCTGTTGGGTCCTTAGTCGAACACGCCCCTAGGAAACTTTCTCTAGGGATGCTTGGATCTCCTCCTACTTCTTCCGATCAAAAGCTGCCTAGGAAGCAGACACAAGAGCCTGTTGAAAATTAAGATGCATGTAAGGAAAAGGCATACAGATCGGGGTTATACCTTAAAGGATTAAGGGGGTTAATAATGTTAGACTAACCCGAAAGCCATCAAGCAAGGCCGATTTTTCTAAACTGTTCGGGACCTAGGTTTGTGCACCGAATTGAACAAAATCACATAGCAAAGACCAGATCTAAATCTATCCGAGTTTGGACCGGAGTGGTCTGAGCCGGTCTGGACCGATTAGACCGAAAAAATATTTTTTTTAATTTTTTGATCCATTAATTATGATTTAGGACCAAACTAAACCTTGAATCCTTAAATTTTTTGGACCAAATACTGCCTTGAAAACCATTTCATCTAGACCTAATGGTGCAGTTCGATCAGTTTGTTCGATCCGGACCTAAACTTGAACAACCCTATTGTGACTGGGACCCTTGATGTACTCCATGCGTAGCTACTGACGGGCAGTCTTGAGAAGAGGGAAAGCATAACACCCTAAGTTATTCCGCCGACACCTGATTGGAGAATCTCGGCTACCGCCAGATCGAGCATGCTTCAGGGAATAGTCTGCACTACCCCGACGGGGCCTCGAAGGTACCCTCCATGTCTTCAATTGTGTTGGGCAAAATAAAGCATAACTCCAGATTAGGAAAGCTTTAAATAATGTTCAGTAGTGATAGGTATCAAATGACTTTAATTGTACCATAATTATCATGTCCATACACACTCCATGAGCAACAGATAAATAAATTTTTCAAACCAGCAATGATATATCGATGATCTCGTCGAAAATTCCAAGAATATTTAGCTTGGCCTCCATGACATCTCAAAAATTACTGCAGTTGTATACAATTAGTACAATTAAAATTAAAGTATGATTAAAACATTTAAGGGAAAACCGTTCAAGTATTTTATTATACCTGTACTCGACCAAGTGAAAAGGATCTTTTTCTTAGTCATGACCTTCCTTTTCCAAAGTGACATTGTTGTACAATACCAAAAGATTGGTATGATATCAAGATAGTACCTATCAATGGATTCAATTAGAATTTTGTCCAAATTGTACTTTGAATGGGTAGTCTCCCCAAACTTCACTACAACCTCCGTAAAACTCCTAATAATGTTGATTAAGTATTGTATGCTTCTCGCTTGATGAGAAGGTTAGATAATATCCAAGAAATATGATATTTGGTAAGAAGCACCAAATAACAAAGTAAAGTTATCCAAAAAGTTCCTACAAAATTTAAGAACGGTATTTGGAATTGGATATCAAATTATTTGTCTTGATCAGGACGTTCACACAAAATTGTGTGGTGTAAAAACTATTAGACATTATGGTGTACAGGAAGAATAAATTTGTGAAGATTTGTGTGCTCCAACAATTCAAAGAGCCGTAGAAAACATATAGAATTTGCTTGAGGTCATAGTCCAAGTGGTTGAAATATAGAAAGAAAGAGTTCAAATAAGCATTCAAAAATTTTATGAGCTTGATATTATGCTTTGGCACTTGATAAGGTGGAGAAATGTAGAAAAATATGATATTATCAATTCAAAAACCATGTTGTTTATGAGAGAAATATGATTTTATTCTCAAGATGGAATTCTTTGTTGAGGTGGATATGCTACTATATAGCATTATTTAATGCTGAAAATTTAGACAAGTATGTGATGAGGATTCAACACTCTAACAAAGAGTTAAATCATATAAGGACTTTCAGAAGAGACATGAAAGTGGAGGAAAAGATGGAAGAATGGGAAATGGAAGGAAAGGTAGTGTACAAGAGGGAAATCAAGGTGAAATTTTCAATTATTAAGGAAATAAAGGTGAAACTTCAATGATTCTACTCTTTGTCAGATGGTTGAATCTTCATCACATACTTGCCTAAATCTTTCAGCGTGACATGATGCTTAAATGCAACAATATTCATCTCAACAAAGATTTTCATTTTTATGCTAAACATTACAACATTACATTTATTATTAAAAACAGAATATTTGAATGGAAAATAAAACATTCTTCTGCATTTTCCACCTCATAAAATATTTGGATGCTTACTCGAACTCTTTCTTCCTCAATTTTAGCCACTTGAATAACGACCTCAAGAAGATTCTTTAGGTCTTCTGTGATTCTTTAAAGATGTTGCAGCACACCATTCTTCAAAAAATCTGTTCTTGTACACCACAATGTCTCTAACAATTTTTGCAACACATAATTTTGTGTGAACTCTCCCATCAAGACAAACGGTTTGATAACTCATTTCAAACACTGCTCTTAAAATTCACATGAACTTATCGAACAGCTTTACCTAGTTATCCGGTGCTTCTAACTAAATATCACTTTTCTTGCATTTAATGAACTAGACACTTAGACATTCTAAGATATTACCCTTTGAGGGCTCTGAGGGTATACCAAGTGCCAAACCGTGATCGAAGTGTAAGGAGCATGGATATAATCTTTCATGATTAAGAGATAAATTTGTCCTTACTCCATTACTATCAATCTAGATTCATAGATGTATGTAAATGTTACAATCCATGTTTAAATTTGCTTTGTTAGAAGGGAACTCGAATTCATGCAAAGGTTAATGCCCCCGAACTTCCTTACTATCAAGAAAAAATAAGAGAAAATGATGTTTATGCCCTGCGCAACTTTTGTGTTCAACCAAACTACCATACCTACAAAACAACCAGCCAAGCCATCTGTGGCTTTTGATCATCACGTCCAAAACCATGTTTAAGGATCTTACGCCAAAGAACGAGACTGAGGTTCCACCTACCCAAATTTTTCCCAGGTTCATGTATAAATTTCTGGCAATCAACTATATCCTAGCATAACATTAGATAGATGAAAGAATGCTAATCGGTAATGCATTTTATAATCGAGTTTAATTTTTATAGTTTATAATAAAAACTAGTTCACTAAATATTTTAATAGATGTGATTGGAAAAGTTGTTGCAACATCAAACATACATGGAACAGAAAACTCTAGACGGATGGAAGTCACACTAGAAGGTCTTGAGTAACATTTGTTGAATATAGACTTCACTTGCAATTGTACCTATTGCCTAACTTTCAACTTTTATATTGGCCACAAAATACTAAGGGAATGAGGAATGGATGCACATTTTGGAACGATTACATTAAAGAATTTAATAGAAAACTTGGCCAGGAGAAGGTGGATCCAATTTTAACTGTCCAATTCTGTCGTCCCAGGAGATATCAGGGTAAGGAGATAGAACTTTCAGTGAATATTTTTTGGTATATGAACGAAATTCTCATTTCAATAACTCTGTGGTGTTTTTTAAAATAGATATGACCTTAGTCTCAACATCCTTCTATGTGACAAACTACTTTTGGAATGTGATGCCTCACAAGCCGTATAATCTTGATATTTTTATAATATGTATTTACTCTATACAAACATCTCATATTTACGGAGTATTTTAATTATGCAGATTCAAAGCAGTAAAAAATTATGTAGATGACAAGGGAACATTCCCTTTTTCCAATTTCTTTCGTTTAATTGCTCATTTAATACAATTATTCATTCATCTGGTACTTGTTTACTTGATTTGTGTTTTGCATCAAGGTTATAGCTAGTGATACATTGCAAGCCTAGTTCAAAATATCTAGCACATGTTATGTTTACGTGAGACTTAATGAAAGTAAAATACAATAACGAAAGTAACGAACATAATAAGTCAAGTGTGAGCTAGAAAAAGTTAATCTACCTCTTAGTTTCCCTAGTTGTGCACTAATTATGTATAGAGACACATATTTTATGATTTTCTAATGAAAATGAGTACCTAAAAAGGGATTCTAGACTGACTTAACTTGTGCACATGGAAGAAGCACCTAAGTCTGAAAAGGTTGAACAACTCGTGCTCAATTTAGAAGAGGAATAAACAATCTGAAACTGAGAAGAACAAGATTGTTAACGACCTCAAGAATGTTTAAGCCTCTACTGCATTGGATGGTATCTAAGAAAGATGATATTTGGTTAGAAGCACCAAATAACTAGGTCACGCTATCCGATAAGTTCATGCAAATTTTAAAAGCAGTGTTTGGAATGAGATATCAAACCGTTTGTCATGATGGGGAGTTCAAACAAAGTTGTGTGGTGTGAAAATTATTAAAGACATTGTGGTGTTCAAGAAGA